GGAATGTAAAAAGAAAGAAAATCTGTCATTTGTGATAGCATAAACCTGGAGCATATTATTAAATGAAATAATCCAGACACAGAAAAGCAAATACCACATCATTGCATTTCTATGTGAAGTCTGAGAAGGCAGAAATCAGGGAAGCAGAGAGTAGAACAGTGAGTCCTAGGCCTCTGGGGAGAGAGGATTGAGGAGATGTTCATCAAGGGACACAAAACTTTAGACAGAAGGGATAAATTCAAGGGACCTATTTTGCATCATGGTGACTACAGCTACTAACAAGATGTTGTATACTTGAAAGTTGCTAAGAGAGTACATTTTAAGTGTTTTCAATTTAAATGATACTTAAATTATAAGTATGTGAAGTAATCCATAATTAAATAGCTTGATTTAGCCATTCCACAATATATGTGTATATCAAAACCACATTTGCTACACCATAAACATGTTCAATTTTTACTTGTCAATTAAAAATAAATTTGAAAAAATTTTTAAAACTTTTCAAAAAGATAAGCATTTAAGAAGACTATTAGTAGAAAAATCAGTTTTTCCTTTTTCTTTTCTAAAGAGTTGGCCTGATCAAAGAGAGGGACTAAAAACAAGTACTTCTGTGTACTGAGCCTGTATCTGGGACCCTGAACCCTGTACCTCCACATTTTGCTTTATTGCATTATTACAAAAAACTCCAAGATGCAGATGTCATAGTTACAGCAATTTTACAGATTTCAATTATTAAGTAGCAGAGTTGGGCCAGTACGGCACGGATACCGTGTGTGTACTCCCTCCCTGCTGGCCACTGCAGCTTGACTCACACACTGAGAAAACTCGCAGGGTGCCTCCTGGACCAGATCAGCTACTTCTCAAGTGTCTTCCTTAGCGGCAGTATTTTTCTCGGTTACATGGAGGTACTGGACTAGATTCGCTGGTTTTGAGTAACAGAATCCTTTCCCCAGTTTCAATCCTGTTCTAAAGATTGAGACAGGGGGCTGAAATTGTAGCTCAATGGCAAAATATTTGCTTAGAATGTGTATGGTCTGAAACTAGTACAAAAAAAAAAGATTGAAAGACGGGTATACAAGAACACAGAAAAGCAGAGTTACTCTGACTGAAGTATGTGTGGGGGTGGAAGGGTCTTAACTCTGCTCAGAGGTGCTCCTCATTTTCTTTGTGATGATGCCCTTGGAGTTCTATAGGGTATAGTTTGAAAACCCTAAAGCAGATCACAAAAAGGACCTGGTGTATGTGGAAGCTCCACATGACCAGATCAGGGAAAAGACTGATCAGCCCATTAGGGTTATGACCTAGCTTGTGCAACAGTCACCAACCTCTGGGGGCATCATTGACTCTTTGGACCTCAATCCTTCCATTTGTGAGATAGAATAGGGGCACAACCTTAGAGAGGGTAGAGTCACAGCCTTGGACTACGGGTCATGGAGAAAGACAAAAAGGGCTCCAAGACTGGCTGGGAGGGGTCTAGAGGCAGGGGCTGCAGGAGGAAGGCAAAGAGAACGAGGAAGGCTTGCAGAACCTTGAAACAGGTGGCCTGGGCTGCAGTGGGAACATGAAAGTGCCAGGGGGGTATGGGCAGATTCCAACAGACCACCCTTAAGTCTTGGATTTTAAGGACTCTTGCCACCTCCTTATTCCCCCAAAGAAGCACACTGAGGTTCATGACTGGTAGACAATAGGCCTTAACACGGGCTTTTAGATTCTTGGCCAATGAAGAATGTAGATTTGGGGAGTCATAGATTATTTCAGACATAGAATCTCAAAATAATAGAACACAAGTACTTTAGAAACTCTATTAGCAGCACAGAACTTTAAAACCATGTTATAGACTCCCAGATTCTCAAAGAAATAACAGAAATAAAAAATAAGTAGCTTCTTGGAAAATATGACCCAAAGGAATGTCACAGAGTCTCTAGTGATGCTTAGAGGCCAGGCCAGACTTGTGTCCCCAATGCAAGAAGCCTGAGCAAACAGAAGAACCAGGCAGCACAGGAGGTTCTGGCTGAAAGTGGACCGGAAATCTGTTAGGGAGCCCCTAAGAGACCACCCTTCTCCACAGACCCTGCAGAGCCCTCCCCTAGGCACAGAATCTCAAGTCCCGGTTACACAGTCTCAGGTGTTTCCTATCTCTCCGCATTTTGCCTTGCTTTACTACCTTGGGGCTCCAGTGTGGTATGCATTACTCATCTCCGATGTGCAAAAGTTCAGCTAACACCCCAGAGACATGAACTCGTTTAAAGGAGACAGTGTCCAAGATGCCAGAGCTGGCAGACTCTGCTGAACCTATTGCTCGTTATACAGATTGGGAGACTGAGGTCCAAGACCCTGTGCTGGTCACATACGGTAATCCTTATGCCATTTACCTGATACCTTTAAAAATGGCATACTTCTAGGAAGGAAGGAGAGCTGGAAGGGATTTCTAAAACAATCCTATTTCACTTTCTCCCCCCTTGCTCATTTCCTCTCTTTGCAGAAAACGCATATCCCTTGTAATGGGGACCTGGAATTTCTGGCAGCCACTACTGCCTAGCTGGGTCTTTTCCCTTGCCCCGTGCTGGTCCCCATCAGTGGCCCTAGTGGGCCAGGCCAGGCAGCATTACTGCAAGCAGCCCAGTCAAGGCAGCCTCAAGGAGATGGGGAATGATTCCTCCCACATCAATATTTATTGCCAGTGAGCCGCTGGAAGCAGATCATCATGTTCTCAGACTCCAGTTCTTTTTTAAGAACCTCTCACCCCTCTACCCTCCCCACTCCCCATCCCCTTTGTGCCAACAGAATAAATGCAGACAGCCAGACAGGTTCACAGCCGGGGAGCCAGCGCTTCAAGACATCACAGCACTCAGCTCTCAAACTCTGACTTTGAATCACAGCAGCTCTGACTTGGGAATTACGTGTTCTCAGACTCTGAGGTGAACAGAGCATTGCTCCAGGAGCCCAACCTCTGCACCTTCCAAGACGGTGCAAAATGGGAAAGCAACTTCTGCTCAAGGTCATCTAGCAGAAATGTGACAGAGCCCAGTAGAGACAGTCCCCCCCGCCCACCCACCCCCAACCTTGCTCCTTCCATACTATCCGTTCCACTGCCCACTGTTCAAAGGTTGGGCCTTCTCTGCTCAAAGTAGGGCCCATCTGTAACCACCACTCCCACCTCCAAGAACTCTTCCCCGAGTTCCTGGAATGCATGTCCTCCAGATTTTGGTCTGAGCTAAGTAGATTTAGGAAAGAGAATCTGAGGTTTCAAGCTGTCTTGTGCTTTTGGTACTGGCCCCTCCCCACACTGCTTCCCCTGCCTGAGTCCGTGTATCCATCTAGCATCAGCCCAGCAGCTCCAGCAGTCCAGCTCCCAAGCAGTGTGTGGGTCCACTGCTAGCCTTTCTGGCCAGTGTACTGCCTCCTGCCTGCCCATTGCATTTGCACAGCTGGCTTGTCACCTCTCTCTGTGCAGTTTCTTTGTCCTTCACAGTCCTTTAATCTACCTGTCACCTGGTGACAGATGTTCCTTTCAGGTTACTCACTGGTCCTGGAGCCAGCAGTTAAGGCCAGTCTTCTTTGTTCCATGTGCACCCTCTCTCCAGCCTGGCTGGTGTGGGGTGAGGTGGGGGAGCTCTATAGGGCGACCATGGCAGACAATCAGCCAGACTTGGGCTAAAACCCCAGCTTTTCCAGGCAGAGAACTCTTCAAGCCCAAACTTTCTTGCTCTAACATTAAAATGCACCAACCTACCATATTAAATAGAATTCTTTTTGCTGCAAAATATATGACAGGAGTTTTATAAAGTGTCCCTTTGAAATTAGAATTTTGCTTAATTTATGACTAATTTTCTACCAGCCACTTCCCATTCTTAGGAAAAGAAGGAATCTAATACATAAATTTTCAGGATATAAAGAAATGTGAGTATTAAAAAAATGAAATTAACTCAAAGACATAAAATTAAACTTAAAAAACATTTTTGGAGTCATTTTTTTGTTTGGAGTTGATGTGTTGTTTTTCAGGCCTCATGCTTTTGTGAATTTCTGGAAAACTTGGAATCATCTATCCTGCCCAAGGATCATAGTATGCTCCTGCCCAGTCTACCAGCTCTGTGATCTCAGGTGAGTTTCTTTACCAAAGTGGGCCTCAGTGTCCACCTCTGAAGAGAGCCCACTATCCTAACAACTGAGCAGACACCTTTTGGGTCCCTGAGACATCCTTCATTATTGCTTCTTGGCCAGCAGTCTTTGTCCTCACTAGCCTGTGCCACCTTTTTTTTTTTCTTTGTCTTTTTGAGACGAGGTCTTGCTATGCAGTTCAGGCTGGCCTTGGGCTCATTTTGTAGCCCAGACTGGTCTCAAACTTGCAATGGTCTTCCTGCCTCAGCCTCCAGAGTGTTAGGATTACAGGAGTGCACCACCGCACCCAGCAGCCTGTGCCACTTTAAGAGTAAAGACCATGTACTGCACTCCAGTGTCCAGCATTAAGCCAGGCCCAGAGGATTTTCTCAGTGCATGTTTGTCTCCTTAACTATCCCCAAAAGGGTAAGGCTCCCTTCTATGCCAAACCTTTTGCCCAAGCCTTTTCTGCACCTGGAAATCCCACCCCTCTTTCTCTAATTCCTTGAATCCTTTCACATCCACTCAAATTCCTCCTCTTCCCGAAGCCCTGCCAGACTCACCCTCCACAGCATCCGCTTCTTGGTATTCCTACTGCACATTCAGAATTCACAAATGGTCAGCACAGAGGGGCACAGACTCAGACCAGCCTGTGTTCTCTTCCACATACTCCTTTGTTGGCTGTCTGAACCCTTCCACATGACACAAGTAAAGCCCTAGATCTCGCTGTGATACTCACTATGCAGGGTTATTGAGTGCATGCAATGGAGCCCAGACAGGAAGGAGCTTCATACACTGTGGCATATAGGGCTTGAAAAGAATGAATGAAGTCTGTTGTTATAACGAAGAACACATGGGTGAGAGCTGGAGCCTGGGAAGAGGCAGGACATGGAGGGGCTTACCTTGTTGACAGGTGAGGCTGCACCTGCCAATGCCTTTCGCCAGAAGTGAAGCTCATGCTTCTCCCTGGGCATCTCCCTGGGGAAGAAGAAGTAGGGGATGGCAGCCAGTGCCACCATGCCAGCAGAGATGAGGAAGCCCAGCCACCAGGCACCCACCCATCGGGGGTCCTTCGGGGTCAGGCTAACACCACCTGGAAGAAAAGATCATGGTGATGTTAGGGTTATCTCCTGTAGGCCACCACCCTGGGACTAGCCTTTGAGACAGGAGGCAGCCTGGTTGTGGTGGTGGTGGTATAGGGTGTTAGGAGACCTGAATTCTTGGCTTGGTTTTTCCATTATGTGCTGTGTGGCTTTAGGCAAGTCTCTGACCCTTCTGGACCGTAGCTTCTTCAGTCACTGAAGCAATGTAGCATAACGCTCAAGGTCATGAACAACTGAGACTGAATTCCATTACTAACTTCTAACCTCAGGCAAGCTACTTAATTTCTTGTGTCTCAATTTCTTCCCCTGAAAACTACAGGTATAGTATTAATAGGTTTTCTGGGGGCCAGGGATTTAGCTCTGTGGCATAAAGACTTGCCTGGCAAGTGCAAGGTCAAGAGTTCGATCCCTGGTACAAAAAAAAAAATAGATTTTCTAGGAGTGGAAGATGCCAGCTGGGCTAGTAGTTTTTATATCACAAGTTTATTATGAGAATTATAGAAACTAATACATGTAAAGCTAAAAAAGAAACAAAAATTTAAATACCAAGGGCCAAGGATATAGCTCAGTGCCTGGTAAACACAAGGTCCTGAGTTCAATTACGAGTACCAAAAAATTTTGAAAATCTACAGAGAGAGGAGAGGGAGAGAGAGACAGGGAGAGAGACTAACACAGTAAAGAACATGTTAGAAGAGTACTATGTAGGCGTTTGCTCTTCTTCCTCTTTTTTCCGTTACTATTTTGATTATGTTTACTAAATAAAACTATTTTACTTTACTTTCTTTTTGCAGCAGGATTTTGCAATGCAGTTCAGGCTGGCCTTGACTCATTTCTATAGCCCTGGCTGACCTCAAACTCACAGTGATTCTCCTGCCTTGGTCTCCTGAGTGCTGGGATTACATGCATGTGCCAACATGCCCAGCCTTAAATCAAATTATTATTAAGTTAAATAATGGTTAGAACTGCTGTGCTAGTTCTCAGAACTGCATGCTGATGAAAATCACCAGAGGTCCTTGTCAGAGCTACTGATCTCACTGAAGATTCACTTAGAATGGCCACAGGGTGAGGTAGGAAGGTGACCAAGGAATGTGTACCTTCAGCAGGTTACCTAGGTGATTGTGATCCCCATGTAGGGTTAATTAGGACTGGATTATCCTAATGCACTCCTCGTTGCAGTGAGCAAATCTCTCCTGAAACAAAGCTCAGAGAGGACTGAGCTGGAGACTTCCTCTTCCAGTCTCCATAGCACCCATAGACACTTTGCAAACATATAAATGCGTGACAACGCTAACCACCAGAGCCAGCAGCTGCTTTCCCAGGTGTTTGATCCTGAGCTGTTTCTGGGCAGGGGCCAAGGTACACAGTTGGCTCTCAGCATATCTATCTGAATGTGGCTTTGCACTGATGGGACCTGATTTGTTCCTCACTTATTATCTGTCCTGCCTCTGTGCCAGGCTAGAGAGAGCTCATACACCAATCTCCCCAGTTCCTCCACTCACCAAGTCTGTTCCTATAGTAGGCAAGATCTGCCCACCCTATAAAATGCCCCATAAAGGAAAAGGACCTGAGAGATGGCTCATTGGTCCCTTGAAATGCCACATGTGCCAGTGGAGCTGCCAGGATGGTGTCATTATGTGCAGAAAGCACACTCCTTCCTCCAAGCAAAGATGTGCCTCAGAAACCTAAGACACCCCTGATTAACAAGGCTTTTCTTCTGGAGAGAGAGAAGTTGTGACCAAGCCCCAAGTCTTGTTCTATGGTCAGCATTGTAGAAGGAACAGAGATAGGCCAGGGCTGTTCCTAACGGCTGTTGTATAGAACTGTCTAGACCTATACTGGCTAAAGGTACCACAGGCAAAAGCTAGGGAATATCTATTCAGCCACACAGGTGTCACCTGAAGCTTCTAGAACCTTCTGGAAAATTCTCAGGTGAGAGTCAGAACTTCTGAGTAGCAGAAGGCACAACTGGGGTTCATAATTGGTCAGTGTGAGAAGCAGGCAATTGAAAAGCCACAGCAACAGGCCCTAACAGGAATCCTTCCTGAGGATTCCAGAGATCTGAAATCCACAGGACTCTTCCCTCCTGGCCACCTTCAGACTAATCTCCAGCCCTCTGGGCTCCTGACCACTGGCTATCTCAGAGACCACTACTTCCTAAAAGTTGCCCCAGTAGTTTCCAGGATCCTGAGGTGGTCAGGACTAAGTCATTGAAGTCCCCCAGTGCATGTCCCCTCTGGGAGACACTAAGGGTGACACATGAGTCACTGAGTTGTACTCTAGGTGCCCCTTGGGTATCATCATCCTCTCTGTTCTACCTGAGCTTGTGTTTACTTGGGACTGAAGGATGTGGACGGGCAGCTATGTGACATGGTAAATACTTGCAATCATGGTAATGACAGCAAGCATAAGTCTTAAGTTAGCACTTCACAGTTTGTCTCTGTCACCTTACTGGATTCTGCCCACAGCCTTAGGAGAGAGACAGTACAGAGATTATGTTGAGGGCAAGAAAGCCAAGGCCCGTAGTGGGCTACGGTCTTGTCCAAGGTTGGTGGTGCTGCTCAAGTGTGCATCTAGGTCGCTTGTTGGTGTTGGTGAGGTCAGTGCTCAGTGAGCTGGCATCTGTGCACCCTGGGGATGAGTGTGTGGGTCCTGAAGCTTACCTTCTGGCATCCGGTCAATGTCCACATAGAGGCGCAGCATGAGGCTGCCCAGACCATAGGCCATCCCTGGCCCCATCATGGTCACAGCGAATAGAATCCCTACAACACAAAGCCTGGTCAGGATCTCCAGCCCTGGGTTTGCTTGGTAGGCTGGTGCCTGCCAAATCTATGGCAGGGCAATCAATCTTCTCCTGACTTTTACTGATTAGGTAAAGTAGAGATCAGGGACTCAGTGTTCAGCCACACCCTGGGTCTCTCTGCCTTCTACCCAACCTGGCCTGACTCCCAGAGCTTTAGTGGTGGGGGGCACCTCACCAAGGTAGAGGGGTGAATTGCTGTGGTGGGCAAAATCATCGATGTAGGAGATCCCAAAGGGCTGAATTGGCACTCCGCCCACGCCAAGCAGGGTCTGTGCCAGGAACATGAGCCCCACCACAGTCACATGCCGGACCTCTGTGAAGCTGGAGCAGTTGCCGTTGGAGTGGTCAGGGGCCAGGGCTGAGGCTGTGGGCAGGCACAGGGAAGCTGCGAAGTCCTGTGACACATCCTCTGAGAGATCACAACACAAATAGGATCAGAGCCAAGACGCAACACTTCCCAGTACTGTTCTAAGTACTTCAGAAAGGAATTATTTGTTCCCCCCACGACAAAGTTAGGGGACAGGACTCCTCATTACCCCATTTCACACATGAGGAAACTGATGCCCAGATGACCATGAGGCAGAGCAGAGGCAAGACTAGAATCCAAGGAAGTCTGACTTTAGAGTCCTGCTGTTAATACTTTAAGATGCAGGGGCATTTGATAGGTTCATGTTAATAATGGCTCTTGGGTGAGGTCAAAGGAGGTAGGGTTTGAACTTAGTCCGTAAGAACAAACAAGATTTTCTCGAAAGAGAGGGAGGAGTGTTCCTGGGAGAAGTCACAATATGGGCAAACCCAGGGCTCAGAAGGGCACCTGGTTGATAGAATGAGAAGTTCAGAATGGCTGGATCACAAAGAATGCAGGCCAGGCAGGGGAGCTGGGGCCAGACCCTGGAGGCGCATTCATTTTTTTAGGTGGGGGTGGGGTGGGGAGCAGTGTCAGCCCAGGACACATTTGCAGAGTACAGGAAAGGACAACTTCTTAATTTAATACCAGATGTTTATGCCCTTTAGCTCACCAATATTTGGTCAGCAAACGAGACTGTTACACTATTATTATCCCAAATGAGGGAGTAGAAGCAGCCTTCTCTCTGGGGCCCTCCCTTTGTGGGAGCTTGGGTCACTGAGAGTCACACCCTTGGACTGGAAGAGTCAGTGAGCCGCCATCAAGAACCTAGAACTGACCTTCAGTGGAGGCTTCTTGGACCACACTATGTGACTTGGACAGAGGTCTTCACTCCTCGAGTCCTTACCTCCCATTTTCTAGAACCCATGTTCTCTAAACATGAGGAATTTAGAAGCAGGGGAATTCAGCAGTTCAGAGAAGGGGTCTAAGAATAGTTCTACTAGCATGGGGGCTGGGGAGAGGGCCCCTTCCTCTCTGAGCCTGCGTCTGCACCGGTGAGGAAACAATGATGACCCCAGCCCCACAGGGCTCTGAACATTGAGTGAGCATTGCTCCTGCCCCATGCCCACTAGACACTAGATATGTTGATTGTTTTAGAGGTCTGGTCTCCTCTCACACTTGGGCCTTAGTGCCTTGAAGAAGGCCTGGCATATAACAGAGTTGCATCAGTGTGGAAGGAAGGATGGATGAATAAAACAGCTGGGAGTGTCAGAGCAGGGCAGAGGCTCAGAGATTATGGAGCCTCACCCATTCCAAGTCCATGTGAATATGACAGCAGAGATGGGGAAAGGGTTGGCAGTGAGGATGAACAACATGTAATCCTCATAGAAAGGGTTCTGAAAAAGAAGAAATCTTGGGCGTAGAAACATGAAGTGCTGGGCATGGTGACTCATATGTATAACCCTGCATACTTTGGAGTCTGAGGCAAGACGATTGCAAGTTCAGAGTCAGGTTGGGCAACTCAGTGAGACCCTGTCTCAAAATCAAACCAAAATTAAAAGGGGTGGAGATGTAGCTGAGTGCTCCTTGGGTTCAATGATTCAATCCCCCATGACCCACAGTGAAAGTATTTTTCAGTATTCCAAGCAGTTA